GAATCGCGTTGCGAATCTGGAAACTAATTTGCGATACAAGAGATCGCGTTGCGAATTATCGATCGCATTGCGATTTAGTTGGTCATTTTGGCAAATCCAAAAAAAATTAGTTAAAATCGTATATTATAAGACATTTTTGATCACTGAGGTTATTTTCTCTTACCAAAATTGGGCATTTACATTTCGGGTGAGAGAATCTGTTGTTTTTTAGTGTAGTGTTGGTGTTGGGTCCATCCAACATTGTGGGAATCTCCTTTCCCTGATTCTCAACTCTTTGGAATCCCATAACTCCGCATTTAGATTTATCCAAGTTACCCCTTTGATTTTATTCCCCCAAAAAAGGAATTTATAAAATCCAGAATATAAACTTTTCTAACTTTTTTAAGTTATTATTGAATAATAAATTTTCAATTATCAATTCTCAAATAAAAATATTAATATAAACTCTTTTTTTAAAAAATATTTAATATTATTTGTAAAGACAAATTTTATCCGGTTTATGCTAATTTGTTGTGTATAAATTATTAAGATGAAATCATTTGAATTTTACGAAGGAAACGGAAGGTAAATTTGGTGCGTCTATTAAATCGACGTTTATGGAAGGTTCACGTGCAAAAGTTTTGGTGAATAATTAGGAAAACACTAAAACAAATCAAAAGGTTGATTTGATTTGGAGAGACTTTGGTGGTTCAACGTTTGAGTTATAGTCTTACTATGTTATGTGATTCCTACACCTAAAATCTAACAGCTTTTGTTTCATATTGTCAGCAGCTGAGCTGTTTTTGTCCTTAATTAACATAAAATAAATTGTTAATATTGTAAGAAAATAAGCCAATCTTCTCAAAGTCATTTGTTGGTGACCACAAAGACTTATTTACTTTACATTATAATTTGAGTTAATTGCACCCAATAATCCTTAAATTATAACTCTATATATATCCCCAAACTTCAAAATATTCTAATTACATCCTCAAATTGCAATCTGTGTAATTAGAATATTTTACAGTTTAAAAATTAATGTAAAATTCAGGTTATAGTTTAGGGAAATCTGAGAAGATAATTATGTTAAAATCTTCTATTACTCTCTATATTATAGGTAAGTTATGGATTTGGTCTATGTATTATAAGTTTGATCATTTTTAACCGTATTTTTTTAAAAATTTATAATCTTAAACTTGATTTAAACAATATCATTAAATCTATTAAGTCAAATTATATTATTAGTCTATATAATATGCGTAAGTTGTGGATTTAATTCTTATTTTTCAATTTGATCATTTATATCCTTATAATTTTGTTATATATTCTTTTATTATTTTAGTTGGAATTCAAAATTCAAAATTAATCAAATTATAATACAAAAATTAAATCTACAAATTATATTACACGGACTGATATCATTATTTGACCTTTACGTATGTCGGTAGTGGGGAAGTAAAAAAAATCTACTGAAGAAGGTTAAAAAGAAGAAGGTGAAATTTGATGTGTTGGTGAAAAAGAAAAGTAGAGGAAAATTGTAAGCAATATGATATCATGAGAGAGAATTAAAAATGTGTGATTTCGGTTGATCAAATGAAAAGAAAAAGACTATAGATTGACTTTTTAATTGCTCATAGATTATACGCAATGCAAATATGCAATCTTGCAAATTAAGAATCTTAAGAACCATACTTAAAGTGAAAGTAATGATTAATTAAACTCACATCTATCTTTCAACTTCCTTTTCAAGATTTGAAGTTTTTGATTATCCAAATTAACTAAATATTAAAAAAAATCCTAACTCTTTATTCACACAAAAAGTTAAATTCTCAACCCCTAATACTTTTTAGATTTATTTTAATTTAGATTTCTATCTATACATTATGTTGATTGAATCTATTATATTTGATTATTTTGGATATTAAATAATGATTTTTGATTATTTAACTAAGTGTTTTAATTTTTTTGTTTGTATGATTTATGTGTGATCATAAGTGACTAGTTTCTTGTATTATTGATCATAGAAAAATATCCTTATATATATTTAGTTTATAATTATAATTATAATTTGAATATATTATACTTTTAATAAAATTGATTGTTTCTATAAAGAAAATATATTTTTAAGATAGAAAAAAATAGGTCATCGTCTCTACATCATTCAGAAATTTGGACCGTCTCCTATGAATATGCAACATTATATCCAAAAGGAAAATGAATTATATGAGCTTAAATATCACCCCATTCAATGATGTTTGTCATTTAGTGATTTGAATTACACGTTTACACATAAAACAATATCTAAAACAAAGTAAAATTGAAGTTTCAAATCACATTTTTGAGATCCTAATAGGATACAAACAGAATATTTTAGTATAAATTAACCACCATCACTTTGACCTTAGGGTGTCGAGCAAAATTAAACATTCCAGGCACTGTGGTGGAAGAATTAGTAAGTAAAGTCATTTATGATTTATTAACTGGCTAATTTAAATTGAATATATAATATAAATTTATTTTGAAGATTACTCTTTTAATTTAATTTTAATATATTAACAACACCAATATTTAAAATTCATTATATTTTAATTTTTCAAAATTTAATTTAATTTTCATATTTTATAAAATTAAAAATTAGGTCAAATCCACTAATATATGCGTGTGCCAGTTGTGATATATTATTTTTATAGTAATTTATTTTGCAATCATACTTATGTGTTCTCTTTTATTTTAAGATTGGGAAAATGTTGTTTATAGGATTTAGCATCCAATTACTCCTCTAAAGCTTCAACATTAATTGAAAATAATACTCTTTGTACTTGAGCAAAAGCACTTAAATGACAAAACTATCCTTTTGTTGAATATTCATTCCTAGGATAATATTGTCTTTGCGCATTGAAATTTTATAGGATCCTTAAATAAATTAAGGGTAAACTACATGTGTAGTACATAAAGTATTACTTTTGTTTCGTTTTAGTACCCAAAATTTATTCTTTTTCAAAATCATACATAACATTTAGTTTATATTTTAATTTGATATCCCGCTGTTAAAAAATTAACAATATTGTTGACATGATTTTTTTTATTTTTTTCCAATGATGATATGACATTATCTTATGGTAACACGTCGACATTACAATTAAGTTTTTAATGATGGGTACCAAAATGATACTTAAACTAAACATAGGTATATTTTTTGAGGTAAAATGCCAAAATTAGTCCCCCAACATTTACTAAAATGGTCCTTTTGCCCCCACCCCAATTATATCTTTTAGAGCATTTTAATACTCAACGTTTCATTTTAGGACAAAATACCCCTAACATTTGACAAAATAACATTTGACAAAATAATCACTTTGTCTCTTATTAATTTTTTGGGGCATTTTAGCCCCCAATGTTTTATTTTAGGGGTTAAAAAAAGGCTCATATTTTGGAGCGTTAATTGTGTGTTAACTAATATTCATCTATAAAAATGAGTTTTTTGTTCCAAAGTGAAACGTTGGGGGTTAAAATGCTCCAAAAAGAAATAATAATGACGAAAATGACCATTTTAGTAAACGTTAGGGGCTATTTTTTACATTATGCCGAATTTTGAAATAAAATAAAATTTGGGTACTAAAACGGGATAAAAGTAATAGGTTATATACTAAACATGTATTTACCCGTAAATTAATCACTAATCCCTCTATGTACCATATATAAATGGCCGCGTGGCTCCTCAATGGCTCCCATTTAAAGATCAAAGCCAATTCTTTTGATTTTATTTAATTAAAAAAAGTTTAAAGATTGTGTAAAATATTATTTATTTTTACATCTTTGATGACAATCAGATTAAATGTATTTTTTTGTTTCTTATTTTATAAATTATGCTTTTAAAAAATGGTATTAAGGGGACAGCTCACCGTAAGTTCGCTTTGAATTTTGTGTTATTTTAAATTTATTTAATTCTTTAATATATTCTATATCTTCATGATATATTCAGGTATTTAAAATTTTGTTTGGATCTAATTGTTTATTTGTCTCTCAAGTGACCATCTGCCCATTAGTTGTAGATGGAAAAAATTTAAAAGTATACATATATATAAAAATAATAAATATATAAAAATTTGAGACAAACATAACTAGTGGAATAAATAACTAACAATGAATTTAGATTTTATTTTATTTTTCTATTGGTGAATGTAATTTAGTATTTGTTTAAAGACATTTAACCTTTTGATAATGAAGGTCGTACCTATGCATATGCGGAACTCGAACTTAAAATTTTAAGGAATAACAATAAATCTTTAACTACTAAGATCATTTAGTTTATACGTTACATGATAAATTCATATTTTAAAATAAACATCTATCCGCTCTTGATATAAGGTAATCCATCAGTGTACCCTAGTCTTTAAGAGTTTTATTTTAATGGTACTCAAAGTTTATAACCTTTCTCAAATCAGCATTTATTTTTTATCTTAAATTGGTATTCTAATTTTAAAAGATCTGAAATTAGTACATGTGCGAATCACTTTAACAACTAAATTAGTTATTAAAATATCACGACATAATTAATTTTTGATTCAATTTGAAGATTATAAATTTAAATATATTTAAACTTTAAATTACTTTTAAATTAAAATTAGAGGATTATATGTAATTTAAACATGATATAAAAAATGAAAATGTAGTCCAACAAAGACATAAAGCCATTTTATAGGTGGGGTATCTCATTTTAGTCACAAAATCCATGGCTTCCTTCTAAAATTGGACACATCAATGTTCCTCTGGGCTGGGGTTATCCCCATCATTCAAAAAGAAATCGTGAAAAAGGCAACCCAGAAATTCCACCGTCTTCTAATTTTGTAAATCATTCACAATAACAAAAGCTATTATCGTCAACAATATTATAATAATGAATCATACAAAATCTGAGTAACTAAAAAGAAAGTGGAGAGACAGGCAGGGAGGAGATTTATATTTTTTTCTTCTTGTTCTGTTGAAATCCAGGCTATTCTTTTCATTGAGTGGCTCACTTTTATTATTATTTTTCTCTAATTAGTGTTATCTTTCTGATTTGATTGTAAGCGCTGTTTTGTGGCGAAGAACTCTGGGGAATCTCTTTTTCCAGGCTCCTCTATTTTTGGAGCTGTTTCCGGTAGCAGAGCAGTGATTGCACTTGAGTTTCAGGCCACCAAATTCTTCGGATTCCCACTTTGAAGTTGTTGAGATAGATCCACGTGAAAGCTGCTCGTGTTTTCTGGGTCATCACTTTGTTAAATTTGATGAAGCTTTCCGAGAATATATTTTCCTGGAGATATTTTCTTGGGAAACAAACAGAGAGTTTGGTTTCATAGTGGGTCCTTCTAGGCACTCCGATTATTCAATACTGATCTGGTTTTTAGTGTTGGAGAAGGGCAATGGAGTCAGATCTTCAACGCCGGAATCATTATCATCAACCTCAACAGCATCAAAAACAGTTGAACACTGGCTTGACAAGGTATCAGTCTGCACCCAGTTCGTATTTTTACAATATTTTGGACAGAGATTTCTGTCAAGAGATTCTAAACCGGCCGTCGAGTCCCGAAACAGAACGAATTATCGCCCGGTTTCTATCGAGCAGCGACGACGCCGGGGGCAGTGTTGGGGATAATCCAGAGAACATTTCCGACCAGAATCTTGGCTCGATAACTCCCAAATCACCCGTTAGAGAAACGGCAGTAAAAATAGAGCCGCAAACGCAGATTATGACACAAATGAATAATCAAACAGGGGTTTTTCTCCACCAGCAGCAGGGGAATTACTCCTCTGTTCCACAGAATTTTTATCAAAGCCAACCTCAACAGCATTTGTCAAATCAGCAACCCAATTCAAGTATGAATTACAGGGTTCTGAGCTCGACGGAGACGTCGCGGCCAACACAGATGAAGATGGGAAACGGAAATAATTCGAGTCTTATTCGACATAGCAGCTCCCCTGCAGGGTTATTCTCCGATATAAACATTGAAAATAGTAAGTTTTTTTTTTTGCATGTTTCATGGCAGTTCATACAGATCTTCGTTTTAGAATATAAAAAATATGATTATTAGATTTCAGGGGTAATTTTTGACACTCAAAATCTTATGAAGTTGCAGGCTATGGTGTGATGAGAGGAATGGGAGATTATGGAAGCATTAATAGCGGTAACAAAGAAGCAGCATTTCCTTCGGCAAGCATGCAGCCTCCGTCTAGACTAATGAGTCCGAAACCGAGCTCCGAGAACGCTGGATTATCGAGACAAAATCTTCCCTACAATTATTCCTCGGGGTTTCCGGTTTCTTCTTGGGATGACTCGATGATGGTTTCTGATAACATTTCCGGTGTAAAAAGGCTCCACGAAGACGATGGACCGCTTTCCGGCTTAGACTTCGACGGAGCAACTCAGGTAGTAAACACATTAATACAGAATGCAGCATTCATTAGTTATATGTGAGCTAACAACGTAAACTCTAACAGAACACGATGGTTGCCGGAAACCATCCACCGCCACTTTTGGCTCATCATTTGAGTTTACCGAAGAGTTCGCCGGACATGTCTGCCATAGAGAAGCTATTGCAGTATCAGGATTCGGTTCCGTGCAAGATCCGGGCCAAGAGAGGGTGTGCCACTCACCCTAGAAGCATTGCCGAAAGGGTAACGTTTCTTATACCATTGCACGTCATCTCCTTTTTCCCGTCCATCGTCAATTAGTAAATCACATACCGATAATTAAAATCGCAAATGGACAACCTTTGATCTTGACTTAAGTTTGTTTCCATTCAGGTAAGAAGAACCAAAATAAGCGAACGCATGAGGAAGCTTCAAAACCTTGTTCCAAACATGGATAAGGTACAAATTCACTATTTATATATGAAATTATTTAGAGGGGGAAAAAACTAACGTTTTCTTTCCATGTTTGAAGCAAACAAACACATCCGACATGTTAGATTTGGCTGTTGATTATATCAAAGATCTCCAAAAACAGGTGCAGGTATGTTTATACTGACATCTACCCAAAATTGTACTTGTTTTGTTCTATAAAATCCTTTTTATTTTGCCACTTCGATTCATTCATCCTTTTTTTTTCAGACACTCTCGGAGAATCGTGCAAGGTGCTCGTGTGGTTCCAAGCACCAGCAGCAACAATAGTAGGTAATAATAATTTAAAAAGTATAATTTATTGTAGAACCTATTCAGCAGTGTAGTTACAAGCCATTTTTATGTTGTGATGATGATTTTTAGGTATAATTACTGTTTGCTTTTTGAGCCTATTTTCTTGCATGGTTTTCATTTTTCAACGGAAATAAATCAGGAACAAGTCTAATCTGTGTCATAAATGATAGTATTGGGTTTTCATGCGGAAGAAATCATCAATGATATATTGAATTTGTACAAAAGGGGAAGCAATAACATGTGGCATTTGCTCAACCATATTTATATTGATGTGAACACTGATTAAGAGGACCTAGTTGTTGTATTGAATTGTTTGTCCAAAAACTTAGATATACAGTTAGAATAAAGTTTCAGTAATTATATGATACGATGACAGTAAATTAATTTTTTTATATAAAAAAATAGTATCAATGAATGACTCATAATTTATTTTAAGAGTGACTATTTTTAAGAAAAATTACAGTATAGTTATTAAACTATCCAATATGATGAATTGACATCTAAAGAAAATAAAAATGATTAAAAGAGGATTTGTGTCATTATCCCATTTATTTTTCTATTTATTTATTTAATCAAATGATGATATATATAGTTATATTAGATGATTCATTTATTGAATTAAATTAAAATTAGGATGAAGTAGATAAAATATAAATAACTAGGACCAAATATATAAGTATATAAATTTATTTAATTATCATGTCAATATTTTTGTTAAAAATTAACAATCGGTGACTTGATTTATCTTATTTAAATAATTAAATGGTTTGGCTGATAACAATTTTAGTTAAATGACCAAATATATATATATATATATATATATCATTCTGGCACTACCATTTTACATTCGTATAAAGAGTGCGACTGTAATTCTTGTTATCCTTTAAAGCTACAAGTACTTATAAAAACCAAAGGTATAAAATTTATTATTAAATAATTAAGATTATTTAAACGGATATTATTATATATTTATCTCATATTTATAAAAAATTTATAAAAGAGTGTGATGGAATTAAAGAATTAGCGGCTGAAATTGGCTCCATATCCGTAACCCTTATTTATTCCCGTTAGTGTGGTATTGACAGCGTATCGTCGTCCATCCCTTTTGCCCTTTTTACTTTAATGTCACAAAATGTCTTTTCCCCCTTCATTTCATGTACACATCCGGCCTTTTCAGTTTCGCTTACAACTTACAAGCAGTGACGGCCTTTACACTGATTATTATTAGAATAATAGTTATATCTTCATATATTAATATTGTGATGTTGAAATACACTCTTAATTATATCATTATTTTAATCTCTTCAAATTTAAATTATTGTTTTTAAAGTATAAACTAAATGATTTTAGTGATTAAATGATTATTATTATTATTTGATATTTTATGTTCGAGCATCGAGTATGTAAAAAAATAAGTATTTATTATCATAGAGTTTACAATCTTTCAACATATATTATCTTATATTTGATAGATTATACATAATGTTTACAGCCCAAGTAACCGTCTAACAACCAAGTCCATACAGTTAAGACAACTTTACAATTAAAGCTTAGGAGGTGTTTGTTTTTATAAAAAAATATCTTCAAAGCTCTTATGTATGCTTCGCGTAGATACTGAGCTTCGCAGACCGTTTGTTTTTTAGAAGACAGTAGCTCTGAAAACGTCTGCGCGTCTTCTTCTTGGCGCAGACGTGGCCTTGTGTCTTCAAAACTCTTCCAACCTCTTCAAAGAACATTAAAAACAAAAACCCTCGCCTAAAAACATGATTCTACAGCGGATCGAGAATATATGACTCAGCTACGAGATGAAATTGCTGAACAATTAATGCAAAATATAGATTGATTTATTTTAAAAAATTAATTATTTTAGTTGTATGGATTATTTAAATTTCAGTATTGTAAAACTAAAATTATTTAAATTTCAGTATTGTAAAACTCTTTTAAGTTTAAAAAATCAGTTTATTTATATTTCAGTTTATTTTAGCAGTCCTGCAGACGTTAAAAAACAAACAGTCTTCTTCTTGCAGACTGTAGACTTTTGGTCCACCTCTTCTACTGCAAATGCCTACAGATGTGATCCGCAGACTGCAGACCTTTTACCTCTGCAAAAACAAACAACACCTTAATATATATACTTCATCAATATTCACTTCTGATTTATAAAAAATATATATTAGTTTTAAAAACAAATGCTGCCCCATAAAATTTTTACAAAACGGGGCTCCCATGTACTATACTGGATACGAAAGTCAATAATCAAAGATTTCATATATATATATGAGAAAATCGCCTCAGTGACCAAAAATGCCTTATAATATACGATTTTAACCAACTTTTTTTGGATTTGCCAAAATGACCAACAAAATCGCAACGCGAAATAAAAATCGCAACGCGATCCCCAGAATCGCAAATCAGTTTCCAAAATCGCAACGCGATTCTTGAAAATCGCAATGCGATAGTACAAATTCGCAATGCGATTTTCCAAAATCGCAACGCGAATATGAAAATCGCAACGCGAACACATAAATCGCAACGCGTATCCGTAAATCGCAACGTGTATCCGTAAATCGCAACGCGTATGGGTAAATCGCAATGCGTATCCGTATATCGCAACGCGTATCCGTAAATCGCAACGATAATACATAAAATCGCAACGCGTATCCGTAAATCGCAACGCGATATTTAAAGCGCCATTATAATCGCTACGCGTATTTTATTTTCAAATTACAAAAACGAATATTAAGACAAAATCCCGTAATCGCAACTCATAACCTAAAACCTAAAATCACAACTCAGTCCCATCTCCATCTCTCACTCTCTACGGCGAAGAAATCCGTCCCCATCTCCGAAGATTTCCGTCCCCATCTCCGGCGAAATCCCTCACAACCATTCACGGTCAGAAATCCCTCACAATATTCAGAAATGGAAATCAACCTCCGAGGGTTAGTTTTTTTAATTATTTTTATTTGAAATGTTTGCATTATTGTAGGTTTTTCATATTGAAACTGATGATAAGTTTACTGGTCATTTCAATAATAGATTAACCATTTCACTTAGATTTCATTTCGCGTTACGATTCTGTCGTTGCGATTTTCATTTCGCGTTGCTATTCTCTCGTTGCGATTTTCAAGTTAGTATTTGTCTTTGTCTTTGTTCTGTCTTTTGGTTGAAGTAATGCAATCCATTCAAGTTTCAATTTGCAGAAGAGTCGCAACGAGATAAATGAAAATCGCAACGAGAGAATGACTGTCGCAACGAGAGAAATGAAAATCGCAACGAGAGAATCGCAACGCGAAATGAAAATCGCAACGAGAGAATCGCAACGCGAAACCAAAATCGCATTGCGATTTTCATTTCGCGTTGCGATTCTCTCGTTGCGATTTTCATTTCGCGTTGCGATTCTCTCGTTGCGATTGTCATTTCGCGTTGCGATTCTCTCGTTGCGATTTTCATTTCAACCAAAAGACAAAACAGTATTGCAAATTTTAGTTTCAAGAATAAACTACTACTTTTTATGTTTATTGTTTTTGGTATATCTTCACAGTGTAGTTTTTGGTATATCTAACTTGGTATGTTTATTGTTTCTGTAGAAATTTTTTTCGGCTCAATTGACCTTGAGAAATAAAGTCAGCCTGGCCACTACAATTGCTTCGAAGCTTTCACCTGCTCAAAGACAATTGTTTGAGGAAACCTGCTTCGGGCCATGGCTGAGAGTACAGCATCCGGGTGGAGATGCTAATTTGACCCATTTATGGCTTCAGACCATGACATCAAATCTACCCGACAGTATACAACGTGGTGAGGAAGAGATATGGTTTCATTTTCCACCAGCGTATACTTGTTTTGGGCGGAAGGAGTTCTTCTTAATCACTGGTCTACGATTCGGACACGATGATGTAGGCCGGTACACTCGTCATATCGCCCGCCCATCATGGTTATCCCGGGTTTTTCCGGATGAGTCAATGGAGAAGCCGAACCTACATGTCGACGACCTAAAGAAATTGTTTAATAAGAAAGCTGGTTTCACTCGGATGGATGACGTCGATGTTGTCCGAGTATGCCTTCTACTACTTGTGTATGCCGGCTTTTTAGGCAGAGAGGCCAGACAACCTATTCATCGGGAGCTAATAATATTGGTAGAGGACCTGAATGCATGGAATCTGTTTCCGTGGGGTTCGTATATATGGAAAGCTACCTGGACTAAGTTGTCGTCTGCCTTTGATGACCGCAAAAGTTTGCGGGGCGATGGGTCCAAATACACTTTGTCAGGCTTTGTTTGGGCCTTTAAGGTAAGAATTTCTATATAATGTTTCTAAAATTATAATTAATTATTTAACAATTACTAATTTTGTTATTATATTGTTTGTAGATTTGGATATTCGAGGCTTTCCCCAGCATGCTACATATGCAATAAAAACGTCAAATGATATTCCCAGGGCTATTTCCTGGAAGAGGAAAACTCTGTTGGATTGGGAAGACTTAATACCATATGCGACAATAAATAATGTAAGTTAACACAAATACTTTCATATAATATATAAACAAGTTATTAATAGTAGACGTTTAACTTTGTTTGAGTTTTTATATTTTAGGAGGCCAACATTCCATTACAAAGACTGACACCCACGGAGGAAGAGCTTGCCACTGATTGGTGGCAAGCTAGTCAGAGTTTTTTTGATGGCACGGATGATGAGCAGCATCCACTTCCTCCAATTCGAGAGCCATCACCTCACCTAGAGCCATCACCCGATCGACCCGACTATACACCTCTAGAACGAGAGCCATCACCTATCCCGTCACATCATCGAGCCTCTTCTCCACCATCACCTCACGATAGGCGACCGGCAAAGATGCCACGACTCCTATCTCCCTGTTCTCCACCTCCACCTCCACGGGATGAGTCAAGGGAGTTACGTGATGAGGTCAATGCCTTGCGTGAGGAGATCGGTACTCTACGCGATAACGATGGTGCATGGCGTGTGGAGGTATCAACTTTACGTGGTGAGGTTG